ACTCGCACGTGCTCATGGAGCGCAACTCAAGAGACGAAAATTCTCATTCTCTAGGTGCGAGTTTATGCAAGGTAAAGTGCAACGTAGAAATTGTCATAAAAGCACGAGCTCCAGCTACGAATGTAAAAGGAAAACATTGGTGCGCGTACCCGCAAAAATCGTAAAATCCAGCACTTCGTCACCGAGCGATTCTTACCCAAGTCCGTATATTTCTCGACGAGTGCGCTTGTTTTCCCTTATTGCTCCCTCGTTTCTCCTTCTTCCTGTTTTTTAACCTCTCTGTACCTTTTGTGAAAACAAGAGTTTACTGCTCGGCTCTGTAGCTTGGCAGCGTCGAGATCTCGAACGCTCCTTTGTCTCTTTATAGTCTCAAAGTGGCGCGCTCCTTAGGACTGCAGATTCCTCTTTGACGTTCAGTTGGGGGCTTACGCCCAGAGAGAAATAGAAAGCGAAAGAAAGAGAGAGAAAGAGAGAGAAAGAGAGAGAGAGAGAGAGAGAGAGAGAGAGAGAGAAGGTAGTGCGAGCTGTATCATCGACGACGCCGAACACCAACGCCAAACATAAGGACCTATAGTAATAACGAGGTTTTGCCTCATCCTTACAACTTGTCCTGACACTGCCATATACTTCTTTTTTATTTTAATGAAACGTGGATCTTGTCGCTCCTCACGCTCCATATTCTAGTTTTTACATCATGTTAACATTTCGTGACTTCTTCTTTTACCAATATTCGACGAATTCTACAAAAATCTAATAACATAGATCGTATAGCGAAAATGTGAATGTATAAAAAATCAAATTCTTTAATTTTTAGTAATTCTACAAGATATACTAACATTATTATCGTAATAATATATTCCTAAAGTGCCTTGTAAGCATTTCAAAATCTATACTATCCACTATTTCATAAGTCATAATTGTAATGATGATGACAAATTACAATACCAAAATTACCAAGTATAAAGTAAAACATAATTTTTTTACTTTACATAAAAATTTCTTTTAAAATAAAATATAAACAATTGTTATTTTTCTTTGCAAACCAAAACATTGGATTAAAAATATTTTGACAAAATATTGTCAAAATTTTAATTTATAATGAAGAGTATAATAATTTATTTCAGTACACAAACTTTTCCATATATCATTTTATTCATTATTGCATCATTCATTAAATAACATAATGCGTTAAAAAAAAAAAAGAAAAATGCTGAACTTATTATTAGGAATGTTTTACTACATTTTAGTTTTACTACAAAATTCATATTTTGCAATATGTGTTCATAAAACACTGTCTATAAATACATATTTACCATTGTTCATCCAAATCAGTTAAATTATTCATAAACAATTATAATTTTACCAATACTTAGCTACTTTTGTATGTACATGAATCTGGTAAAATTATTTTTTTTTCAAATATAATTGTTATTAAACAACAAAGAGCATTAATATATTGTTTTTATTATTAATGTTATGAAAGAATTTATATTTATTATTTAAAATTAATTTTCTTAGTGAAATATTTTCAACCATTATTGATGACCAATCTTATAAATAAAAAATTTTTTATTTTCTCAGCTGTATCAATTAATAAATATAAAGAAAAATAAAATTCTTTGTAAAAGTAAAAAAATTTCGCTAAGTGCATTTTCAATAATTCTCTTTTTAACGCTTTAGCCAATTTGACCATCAACCGTAAATACTTTTTTTTACTTATTTCCACCTGCTTAAGTTGTGTTCAGTAATGGCTACTACACCCTGGATTCATTACCACGTACAGGAGAATATTATATTGGCGCGTCAAGTCGAAGTTGTGCCCATGAATTGGTCATTTCTGTACTATAACTTTGACGAGTTTTAAGGCGCGTTTTAAAAAATGAATGTTATCGTAAGATTGGATCGGTAAGTCAAAAAATTAAAATACTTGTCGCATTTTGAAATAATTATTTTAATATTCAACGGTTTATACATTTTATCAAATTTGAGATTTTACAGTTCTTTTTTTTATTTTATTTAAATTGTGCATGATTAAGAAGATGACGTATCTCATATTCTATTTTATATAAAAAAGTAAAACTTTTATATAAAAATTAATTTGAGACTTTAATTATAGTATTTTCTTATTATCAAATTACAATTATTTAATAGATGTAACTAATATTATCATTTTTAATTAAGTAAGGAATTTTGAATATCAATCAATGATTACAGTTGATAAATCTAAATACTTTATGAAAATATTGCGTCTAATTTCAATTTATTTTTTCTATTAAATGTAATGTTTCTATCAAATAATGTATTCAACAATAAATAAATTGAAAGTACCATACTCACTTTCAAATTTTTGTTCAATTCATCTGTTTACATTAGTAAAATATGTAATTAAAGCTATATATTGTTATAGATTAGAGTAATTTTTAAAAACTTAAAATAATATCACATTTAATAGAATTACTTAGAAGAATTTTAATAATGATACGAAATAGAAAAAATAATAATTCGTATATGAAAAATTTCAAAATTGACAAATTACATTTTCAGAAGCTGTAATATAAGTGACATGATAGTACATATAAAAATCTTAGTTCTAAAATACCGCTCGAGAATAATAGCGTGAGAGGGGGGAGAGAATACGCAAATAATAAGAAACTGTATTTACGAATTCTTCGATCTAGTAAATAAAGGTGTAAGGTTTGATAATGATTGAATAATTCCCTCCAAGGCAACAATAAGATAAAACTTATTATTTTAAAAACTTTAAAATACGCAATAAAGCCAACGTGAGTATTAAATAAAAAGTCCATACAGAACGAATAATCACATTTTCTCGAATCACATGTCTCAGCGATTTTTAAATGCACTCCCTACATTCTACAAACAAATTTAGAAAGCTTCCAAGTCCATTACGCATCTACAGGAAGACATAACCATCGCTCGCATTATTTTTTATTCGCACCAGGGTCGAAGGAGACGCATTACGAGATTGCCTCTCACATGGTTAGCATTCACTAGTCTTTTACATTCATGAAGCTTTTACACGGTTGATTTGACTAGAGCCTCTCATCTCTCTCTCTCTCTCTCTCTCTCTCTCTCTCTCTCTCTCTCTCTCTTGTTCGTATGCATGATTCTCGATTTGATTTGCATTGATTGGAGTGCCACAGCAACGCTTTCACCAGCTGGAATGAACGACTATAATCCGGGCGCCGACATATTTTTTAACGCTGCGTTAGGGAGAATGGAAACATGCGAATAAAATAGAATGCGCTCGTGTGAAATCGTTGGATGGACGCATGTATGTCGAATATATTGAAATTGTAAACTTGATTTCGTCGCTCCTCGCACTTGGAAGCCACCTGTTTTAGGGAATAAAAACATTTTTTGCAAGTTTCTTCGTGTAATGTACATTTTTCCAGAATATTCTTATGAGTGAAGTGAAATCGGTATATCTTTTTCACGATAAGTGAAGGTAATAAAGTCATATCAATTGCCGTCTGACTATCTCTATTTGATCGACACCAAATACAACATTCCGTTTATTTATTAAGAGGAATTGTGAATTTACGTGATGTATTAGCATATAGCGTAATAAAAAATATAATTACGAATTATGTTACAAATTTTTCATTCTCTCTATATATAGATATATTAATGAAATTTTATCCAGTTAAATAAATTACTAAAAAAATATATATATATATATATATATATATATATATATAAGATGATAGTGGGGTAATTTCAAAAATTTCAGAAATTCCCACTTTTCCAATATTTCAAAAATTCAACCAACCAAGGATGAAGTGATTTAATAAATATAATATTTATTTGTAAAATTCGAAAATATGACATTAATAAAAATCATAAAGTCGCTAATGGAAAAATTTATATCTCTAAAATTGACAACCACCTTCACTCTATGCGTCTACAATTTTTATGTGAACTAAACCAAGTGACATGAAAAGAATGAACAGATGATGTAGCTGTTTTGATAGTACCAATCAACCAAATTTATGATATATATTTTATTTTATGCAGAATCGTATAATATAGCTACACAAGGCACTACTAGACTTTCCACATACTAATCCAATTGTGAATTATCTATGCATATATGAATATACATCAATGGGGTTTTAAACTTTATCCATATTCACTAATTCATCTAAAACAGTTAAATATTATTTTGTAGCTTTTATAATATAATTTTACGATATTCGATATTACATAAATTTTCTTAATACCATATAATTAAAAAATAACTTTTATGTCATCATTTATGAAATTTAAATAATTTTAAATAGATACCATTATATATTGTGCTTTCTTACTAATCGCATGATTTATATAATTAATGATATAAATAAAATGAATTTGTAAGAAATTTACTTTTATTCAATTATAAAACCCCCTTCTAAACAAAAATGATTTATGTATCAAGTATTTGCTATAAATATATTAATTAATTTATATTATATTATGTAATCTATAATATTACGTTGTAATATGCATATTGAAATATTTTTAACGGAGAAATATTGTACATTAAACTATTTAAACGTACATAATATATGTATGCATATACTTACCTGTGTATGAATATAGGTACATACATAGAACCATATATTCAATGCACGCAATTTCAAAGATATTCAAGTATAATAAAGAAACTTGAGTAGCTAATTTATGCACTAATGTTTTAAAGAAATAATTATATACAGTACATTTAGGTACATATCTATAGTAGATATTTAAAATAAAAATAGAATATTTTAATAAACCCTGCAATATTATTATAATAGTACAAACAACTAAATTATTACTAAGTAATTATAAAAAATATTACTAAAAAAAAGTTATTGCAATCATTATAAATGTTATATATCTGAAAATATGTTCGTATGACTTAATTGTAGTATAATCCTTTATTTTTAATTTGTGGGATAAATATGAAATATAATAAACAAAATATACAATACATATTAAATAGAATATTAATTTCACGAATTAATAGAAGAGTTATCCTTTTTGTCATTTAAAAATTTAGGAATTTGTCGTATTGGTAAACGTTCAGTGCAAATTGGAATTTCCCTTCTCTTTCGAATCTCCATTAATTCTTCATAATTCTCCAAAAGCTTTTTGACAAGTGCCGATCGTTGGGCAGTCAGTCGAACGATCTTTTGTCGAAAATCCTTATGTCTCATCTCACTCTCAATATCTCTTTTTAATTCCATTTCACATCTTCGAACATTCATCCTCGTGATCTTTTCGTCCAGTTTTTCATTATTCTTTTGAACCCGCAGCACCTCCTCAGAAGTATTTTTCAGCTTTTCTTCATAATCTTTCACGATCTGTTTTTTTTTTTGTCATTTATAAAAAAATTATGTACTATTCACTATCATTTAAGTTTCTGTATTTAATTACGACTTTAATTATCGTTTCGTTCAAATGATTAAGCCCTGTTTTTTTATTCGGAAATAAGTTAAAATATAATTAATATTTGTTAAAAAATATAATTAATATTTGTTAAAATTATCGATTTAAATCTACGATAGATGTGGAATATACAACTTAAATGTAAGTAATATTTTGGTCTTATTTTATTGCTCATCTTTTATATTATAAAGAATATTTTAAAAGAAATTTTAGAATGGAAATTAAATCAGCAATTTGTATTTAAAAAAATCCCGATGAAATTCCAGAAACCATTTTATTTAATGATATTGTAAAATAAATTAGATAAATTCCCTAAATTCGAATGCGACACGACTGAAGTTACTAATACAAGAATGTAAATAGTAAACCTTATGAAATTAATCGTATAAAGTAAAGGAAACGCAAACCTTTTCATAATTCTTGGCCATCATTTCGATTTCCTTCTTCAGTTTCTGTGGCGTCTTACTTGTATTTAACTTTTTTGAGCGCCTCGTAAGGAAATCCCGAATATCTCGTGTGATATGGGCAGTCTTCACGAAGTAGAGATTCTCCTGTAGATGCCTCACTTTCGACCTCAAGCAGTCATAGTTCCACTGTTCTTCTTCGATGACGTGTTTGAAGTTGAGATTTCGTCTAATCGTGCTTAGCTTGGCTTTGCCGGCAGCGAGTATTGCTTCATTGATCCTCTCGACAACCACTCGAGGAATGACGATTACCCCAGTGAAGTCTTCGGTGATGTCGCCGCAAAACCCCGTAGTTTCTACTTGACCCATTTTAATAACCAGCTGCACCTCGGTGTTGAGCTCGCATTCGATACGCTCCATACGCATTTGCTTTTGTTGCTCTTTCATCGACTCAATCTCGAGCTTGAAGTTGCTAACTTTTTGGTTATATTTCTTCAAAACCTCGGCCGCCTTCTTCAAGCAGATCTCTATTGCGCACAATTTGAGTTCATGATCGATCTGTGCAATGCACATAACGATTAATTATTACAGAGGCCATATGTTAGTCGGACCCATCGTTTCCGATACGTTAGTCTTGCCTTCTTTTTTGGGGGGGTTGCGCTTTTACGCTCGAGTTTTATACGAGCAAAATTATGCCGTGTCAAATGTATTGTAATTTCACGAGATATTGGATTAAGGTGCTCGCGTATATAAAGAGTAAGAAATAATTAAATTTTGTAATTCTCTGTACTATATTATCTTATTTTATTATAGTTGAATTTAAGATTGAGCAAAATTTAAGTTCAGACTTAACATCTGCTTAAATTTATATTGTGTGCCTTAAATTATGCTTAGAAATGCCTTAAATGATACTCATTTAATTATACGTTAAAAATAAAATATAAATTGCGTGGAGATAGCCGACACTTCATAGATAAGTTCATTATAATAGAGAAATAATTAGCAAATAAGTTTATTAGAATACCTTTAACCGCCTGAGAGCAATAACGTTTTTCCAATCTGTAGAATCGATAGAAGATGGTAGATTTTTAGGTCGATTATCCAGAATTGCAACTTGTTTAAAATACTCTAAACATTCTGGCGTTAAATAGGAAAGAGGTCTCATAGAAACAATTGATTTTCCAAGGTCAAGTATTTCAAAATTAGATACACTTTTCAAAATAGTTCGTGGTCTTTTTTTGTATTGTACAAATATGGTAGCAATAGCATTATTTCCAAGAGTGGGAAAATCATTTTTGAATTTCTTTTCCATGTACTTATCCTTAGCTATTAAGGTATCATATTTATTATACAGTTCAGTATTGACTGCTTCAATTATATTCATTTCATGCGATATTCTTGAAATTGATTGATAGGTTTCTATCATTGTCTTTTTTATTTTGTCATTTTCTTGTAAACTTTTAACGAAATTAAAGTGCTTTTTCAAGCCTCTTACATAATGTAGATTAAGTTGCTGTATTGCTGATTCTATTTTCATTTTTAACTAAAAGTATAATTTATGAAAATCAATATAATTATTTATTAAGCGAAGAATTAAGGAATTATCTATATTTTTATTTGAAACTTAATTGTAATAATATTTCATTTATTATCCAGAAGATGAAAATTTCGAAATTCGTAAAATATCTCTTACGTCTAATTCACATATTAAAAGAAATTAATCTATTTAATATTAAGGAAAAGAGTGAAACTATGCACCAAGTTTGTTTCTTCCAATCTTGAATTGAATTTCTCTACCCCTTTGTTAATATCCTTATGAATATTTACATAATTAATCTGTAGTTGTTTTCGGTACTTCTCTCGTTCGATTTCGATATTCTTCATGCTCTGTTCGTACCGCTTCATCATAAGATTATCTTCGTCAGTGTAATCCTCCACTCTTTTACCGCGTACCAAGCACATAGGCTTTGGTGGATCATTCTTGATGAGATCCTCCCAACGAATCTCCAGCATCCCGTCCATCATCGTCTGTATGGCCCGTTCACGAAAATCGTCCGCGAGCATTGCCAGTCTTGCGTTCTCTTGTTCCATGGCCTAAGGGCACATTATATGCATATTGTATCATTTACTTCAGCCGGATAGTAATATATTTAAAGAAAAGTGGTTTATTGAGATTGATAGTGTATTATATTTATACACTTTATATAATTTAATTGATTTAATAGATATAATAGATTTATTATATCATTTGGTATAAAATCTATATTAATATAATACTATCAATTACAGTTGAATGATATGACAATATATCATGATAGCAGTAATCAATATTATTATTACTATACTTTAAATATACATAAATAGAAGTAAATTTATAAATAAAATAACAAATTTAATTTCTAAAAATAAATCTGAAAATTATTGGACATAAATATATTAATTATATGGTATTTAAAATACATTGTTAAATGTTCAGATAATAATTACACTTTTGATTAAATGAATTTTTAGCCTATATCGTACTTTGCTTTTATAATCAATAAATATTTTATTTATAGTTAATTATAATTTATATATCTTACTTGTTTGTTATAGAGTTCTTGTATAGATGGAGATATGTAAGGTTTTACTGACATTTCATTTTCTGTAATTTCAATTATTGTTTTTGGATTTTCTTTGATATTCCATTCCGGACATTTAATTGTATTATCAAACACTATATTGAACATAAGCTGAAGTTCAGAACATATATGGTGGATACGGTTGATACGCTCGCTAACTAAATTCATTTCCCGCTGCTTCACAATGTACATTTCGTCAAATAATTTATTGAAATAGAAACGAAGTTTTGCACTATAATTGATATTGTGTATATAATTGCTTTGAAGTTGACTAAATGAATAAGTTTTGAATTGCGAATAAGCGGAAGTGGATTGTTGAAGAAAGTTATAAGTTGACACACCTATCAGAAAAATATATATTTAAAATATATAAAAAATTCTTATAATACGCAGAGAATCGAAATACAATTAATTATATAATTTTTAATGTATATTAATATTGATTTAGTGCTAATATTTTAATTATAAGTATTAAAATAATAAACCCTGTTATTTATAATTTTTTTTATTAATTTTACCTTCGAGTAATTGATAGTTAGAATCTTCGATTGTTTCCGGCTCATCATCATATTCAAAAATGCTATCCCTTATCAGAACGCTAATCTCATCAGTTTTTTCAACTCTTAATTGTTTGTTATATATTAAATTTATTTCAGAAGCTGTGTAAGTTTCCCATGGATAAATTGTTTGATCATTCATGAATTCTTTAAATACATTTTTTGTGAATTGAGCATGTTCAAAATTATTTAGCAATTTAGATTGTTCTATAGAAATAGTATAATTTGAGATTTCTGTTGTATCAAATATACTAAAAATTGATTGACTCAAAATTCTTTGAGATTTCCAGAATTTGTTTAAAATCCAATTAGTAACTCGTTCCATTTCGAGACAATTTAATTCAGTTTCACATCTTATTTCTTCGCGCTTATCTTTTGCTGATTTTATGTATCTTTCATAAAAAGTTTTATTTAAAGCGAATGCTGACATTGGCAGTTTTTCAAGTTCCGAAGAAACTTCGTTTTTATTTATCAAATCGTTGATTTTACTCTTTAAATCTTTTAATTTAGTTAGTACTATTCCTTTATCTGCCATAAACTGTTTTTCTTCTATTTGATTATTCTGTTTCTGTTTCCATTCATTCCACGACATATTTCCTTCTTCAGAATCAATATAAGTAGGTAAATTTTCAGATAAAAATTCAATCTCTTTCTTATTCAACATATTCATATATATCATTACATTATTTTTATGATCTTCAGAATTCACGCAAAGTAACTCATAAAAACTTTTGAATATATTATCTTCCGGAAGCACATTGTCCGATCGAATACATTTCATAGCAATGATAGATCCATCAACGCCAAGTGTGATTAATAAATCGCCAGTAGAATTAATTGTAGCCTTTGCAATACTGATATCATGTCTATGATGAATAATGATATGTTTATTTTTACTAATTTTTGGATTAGATTTTCTTATAATAATTAATCCATCTAAAGCACTTGTGATTAACCAGTTTCGATTGTAAAACAACTTTGCTTGCCGAATCTTATGCCCACTGGGTTGAATATCGAAACATATTATCTCTTTCATATCATTAATTGTAAAAAATCTTAGTTGTTTTGTAACATAAGGTGTTCCCACAAACATATTAGATTCATTAGATATATTGTACAATTTTTTGTAATAATTTGGAAAATTGTAAATAATTGAACTCTTTTTGAATGTGTTGCTAGAGCTATCAAGTTCATAAAGTAGTAGTTGATGACTAATTGAATTAGTGGATAGTCCTTCAAGTATATATAATTTCAAATTATTCTTTATTTCAAATAACATGATATCAAGTATTTTTATATTTGTGTCTAATCGAGCATGTATTTGCAAAGAATTTGCACTAGATAGTATTAATAGATAACAAATTCCTTTAGTTTTCTGGCAAACTACCAAATATCTGAAAAATAATGTAAATCTATAGGTATTTCTATATAAATTCCCTACAAATGTAAATTTAAACCAAATTCGATAAGACAAATACTTCTTACCAATTTCTAAACAAACCTTCCAGAGCTTGAAAATTTCATTAAATCCAATATTTCCATTTGTAATATATATTCTCCAAGAATTTTTGGATTATAATAATACAAACAACTAACAAAGACTATTTCACCTTTACTGGTACAAATTGCTACTAACGGATATTTAGGATTTGGTAACATAACTGTAATATTTCCCTCAATATTTAATTTAATGGAAGTGATTTCAATGCCTTTATTAATTTCAATAACTGAAAATTCCTTGGTAGTATCGATTGCAACAATATATTCTTCCAATGGTTCTAAAAAATCAACAAATAAATATTTTCCACGAAGAAAATGTATTACATTTTGTTGAGGTACTGAATCGTTTTCTGAACAGTTTATTTGCACTATATGACCGTTTATCGTAATAAAGAAGAGTCTATCGTTCTTCATGGGATGAGAAGTCAATACCAAGGGACAAGTCACGCATTTTATACTCCAAACTTCAGACCAATTAGCATTTTTTTTATAATAGTTCATTTGGCCAATTGTTGTACACAGTATAATTCCATCCGAGTACCAACAAATGTTGGTGGCTACAATTTCAGAATTAATATTACAGTGTTTTGATAATACAATACATTTGATTTCACTACCAATGGCATTACTAAGATAAATACATCCACAATTATCAACAATAGCTAGGACATCCTTTGAATCAAGACACCATTCTACATCTTTTATAATTGCTTGCATTGGTAGAATAATTTTATGTTTATTCAAGATTATTGTTTTATCACAAAAGATCATCTCCCAAGTAAACAGTTTTGAAGATATTTTACCAAACTAGAAGAAAATTTAATAATGATTGTATATGTTATAGATATGTAATAAATATGTGTAAAGATTGCATAAATTACTACTAACAGATAACCAAAATTTTATTTAAAATGAAACAAATGCGATAGGTCGATTTCCAAATTTTGTTATTATTAACTTAATGTTTAAATCTTTATGAAATTAAAAATATCATTATTTATATCTAATTTTAGTGTAATATTTGAATTTGTTATTACAATAATATTCAATAAAATTTATATAGTTAATTATTACAGTACCTGAGCTATAAATGATGGCAGTAATGAATTAATTTTTAAAGATTGACTGTAGTTTTCTGCATCATATATAAATGTATTAACATTAATGATTTTTTCGCCAGTTCTCCACAACCAAATAGTTAACTTGAAATCTGATCTGGAACCGAGCGAGACCAAAAAATCTCCAACAAACGCTGTCGCTAAATAAGCATAATTTGTACCTTTGACACATTCGCATAGTCTTATCATTGATGGATATGTATACACAAATATCCGTGGCTTCAAATGTTTTTCGGCGAATGCAAATATTTTATGACTGTATGTCAAAGCGTTTCCAAATTTTTCATGAAAAAAGACATTGTTCTATAATTTTTGAATTCTTATGTATTATCGAATTTTTAAGCATACTGCTAGCATAATTGTTATTAAATAACTATAAAAAATTAAAAATTTTACTAATTGATTAATTTTTTTTTTATAATTTTAAATTTAATATAAATATAGACACACACGCGCGGGAGAATATTATATATACATATATAAAATACAAGAAGCATTAGGTTACGTAGTTATACAAATCAAAGCGTAATTTTAATCAACAGGAACAAAAATATATAATATAGAGAAACCATATATAATAGTACTTGATGGCTAAATTATGTATTGATATATTAGTAGAAGAACTGTAAGATGATGTAATAGAAGTTGTTTAAGTAAAAATGACCGTGATAATGTTACCTTGGATGCCCGGACAGGCAGGAGGCGCCAGCAGCACCGATATCGTAAGAAAACCTGGGTAGTAGCAATTTTTTCGTGGGCAAGTCGAAGAAGACGAGATGGATGCCCGAACACCAAGCCAGGGCGTCCTGGCTGATCCAAGCTACTTCCGATATCCGACCGCCACGCAGCCATATCGTACGCCAGCTATCCTTTGCGGTACTCATTAATTATATATTGGTATGAAATTACTTAATAATAGTCACAACTAAACGGCAGGGAGTCGAAAGAGGGACAGAGCGATGAGAGACTGGGCTGTTCCGAATGGTAGGGTTATGTAGCATCGTTTCCATCCTACTGCGAAGTTTGCTGCTGCTGATTACTGATTTTGGCGATACGCATTTTTATTTTATGTATAACATTTATAAACAATCCAAACGTAAACAATTTATACTTTTGATAAAGCTTTATTACAATAAATTTTGTTACGTAATGTTTACTTACACAAAGAATTAGAATTTTTACTTTTCAGTCACAAATGATTTTTTTTTTTATTTAATTAAAATTATTTCATCAAAATCTTATATCTAAAAGTGATGTAAAATAAATATGAAAATAACTAAGACTTGCAACTTATTTGAAATTACAAAAATTTATATACACATTAATCTTGAAAAAGTGGAATTAATTGTATAAAGTTTTTATTTGATTATTATTAAATTATAATTAGGTAAACTTTTTCTTTCACTTTAAAAATATGTTCTTTGTCATAATAGTATTTATCTACTTTGTTTTATTAATTATTTTATAATTTTTCATAAACTTCATCGAATACTAATAAACAAAAATAATAAGTAGTATAGTGAAGTAAAGTTGTGCATACATCTGTATTACTGGGCTACTCATAGCTTAAATGAAATTAAAACTGCTTCTGCTAAAGAGCAATATTATTCATCAACAAAGTTTTATTAATAGCCAAATTTTTATAATTTGCATAAATAAAAGTAAATGATTTTCAAGTTTGAAATGCAATAGCATTTTATTTATATCGAATTCAATTTATAATGCATTTCAACGAATTCTGATTATATACTTCCCTTATCGAAAAAAGTAATTATCATTTTCATATTATAATGCAGATTACGAACCAATAAGGTCCCGACACATGTATGCAATGAATCAAACATTCACAATCGAAACGCTGTATACAGGGCGTAAAATCATACAGTAGCAAAAGGAATAGATGCACAAGGGGGTACAGTGCATTGCTTTCCGGCAATCATTTATCAGTGAGGCGTATCCATCATCCTTATGCACCGGCTCATCGTGCGCGAAATTGCAAACGTGCAACAAATCGAGCGATTCGCGGAAAGTTCCCAGGATATAGCGCGTATCAGAGTGCATATATGCTATACGCATGCCAGTGCGATATCCCCAGACATACGTAAAGTTCGTGTCCCGGAGTAGGGGCTTGAGAAGAACACGAGCAGGCGAACGGGGGACGAGAAAAAAAAATGGAATGACGGAAAAATGACGACGAGGACAACGATGAGAGCGAAAACGGGTATGGAGAAATGAAATTCAAACGCGGGGAATGAGCGCGAAGTTCACTGGAAACTGGAAGCATCGATGGGAAAAAATGGCTAATGATAGTTTCGTAAGTTTTTTTATGCGTGCGTGAGACACGGTTTTACCAACTTGGGCTACTTGTCTACGGTATACTTCCTATTTATTCAGTGTAATTTAAGTTCAAATTTATCATGAGTAAACGAATTTATTTAGTGGTGTTCCCTCGATTATTATTTAATAATTTATTGGAAATATGTCCGTCTATATATAAATAGTACTATAAGAATATAAGACACAATCATTTTAAAAATAAATTTTTCACCAATTTCGTTATTAATTAATATTTTGGAAAAAATCGATCGATTCAATGGTATTTATTTTGTCTTAGAAATCCTATTGAAATGTTTTATAAATTAATTAATTATTAATATTTTCAAAAAATAAATAACCCTGCCTTTTTGTAGTATTTAATTATTCTAAAGCCTGTTGATAAAAATCGCGCTGTGCTTGACTGTCTTATCGTATTAACTACCTCGTTCATATTAACAAGTACCAATAAATTTCAATAAATTAATATTAAAATAAAAAAAAAACTTTTTGCTCATTCAGCATTATGCAAATTTTAAACTGAATATAATTAATACATATTAACGTTAATTGACGCTCTAATTTTCTTTTTCAAGCATGTCGTAATTCATTTCAAATCATTTTCGTATTCATAATTTAAGCATCTTCGTTTCCTTTTTAAATCTAGATGACATCTCTGTTAATTTCTCCATCTTAGTAACTGTAACGGTTCTCCTAACTGAATAACGTGTCTCTTATCGTATACAATCCAATAAAAAATGTATTTACTCCAATAAAGATTATTTACACTTTTTTTTTAATTCTACCGAGTAATACTAAGCAACAATCTACAATCCAATTTTTTAAAATAGCCAATCAGAAGCAACTAGCTAAACATTCTGTGAAACAATATCGAAAGCACAGACGAAGTTTAAGGTATGAGCGTAGAAACGACCGATAAGTATTCCATGATTGCATCCAAAGATCACACAATCAAGGAGAAACTCTCGCTTCGGTCATCAGCAACCAGCGTCGCATAACCCGTTGAAATTCCCATCACCGACCCTCCCGCCCTATCCACCCTTTTACCACCGTCACTGCTGCACCACCTCGCTCTGCCGTCTCGCGTATTTCCAGTCGCTCCTTCGAGCGTATCACGCATCTACCTAAGCTTTATCAGAAGGAGGAATAGCCGATAGAGGTAAAAGGGTATTAAAAGGAACGAGGAGAGCAGCGCAGCGAGTAGTTGCACGCGCCGCGCGAGTGTGGGAACAGCGACGCGGGCAATGGCGGGTAGCATTTAATCAGAGATAGATAGATAGATAGATAGATAGATAGATAGATAGATAGATAGATAGATAGATAGATAGATAGATAGATAGATAGATAGATAGATAGATAGATAGATAGATAGATAGATAGATAGATAGATAGATAGATAGATAGATAGATAGATAGATAGATAGATAGATAGATAGATAGATAGATAGATAGATAGATAGATAGATAGATAGATAGATAGATAGATAGATAGATAGATAGATAGATAGATAGATAGATAGATAGATAGATCGATAGATAGGTAGATAGATAAATAGATAGAGAGAATAAATGAGCGAGAAAAGAGTGGTAAAAAGGGAGTCAAAGGGGAAGTGGGGTACACGAGAAGAAGTAAAGGTATATGGTTCGGTTAGCTTTTGCTTGGGTGGTTGCCTGGAAATTGGCGCCAAATTAGTAAGGAGACGAGGCGAGGCAGCTCACTTCGATGCCTTGGGCTGCGTGACGCAAGACATTAAAAGTAACCTCTGCTCTTCTCCCTCTTTCACTCTCCTTCGCTCAGTCTCTCTCTCTCTCTCACTATCTCCCTCTTTCTCTATTCCCTCCTCATCTGTTATCCACCTCTCTTTTACTTCTCTTCCACCGATTCTTGACTTACCTCTTGGGCCACAATTCCCCTTGACCTCCCCCAACCCTCGTTGTCTCGCTAAATTGCTCCATCCCCCTGAACCCACACACACGCTCTCTCTCTCTCTCTCTTTCCTTCTCTCTAATCCCCCCTTCCTATGAACCTTATGTACGGACTCGTGTTTTTGCTCACAGGACGCTGCTGCACCGGACAGCAGCTTAGAATTCTCCTGTTCTTCATCGTCCCCCCCCCCTCCTGCTGCTGTAGCTGGCTGTATATATGTGGGTTCCTCGTCGCCCGTAATCACGGTGTGCGCGAGAAGAAACTCAAGAGGGAGAAAAAGGCGTACTACGGACCTACGGCCGAGCAATTGACGCGCAGACGCAACTCCATGGTCCCGACGAAGAGAGCAAAAGAGAGCAAGAAAAGCAAGAAAAAGAGACGGACAGAGAGAGAGAGAGATAGAGAGAGAGAAAGAAAGGCGACCTTTACCTTCGAATGAGATGGTAATTCCCCTTACTTAGCTGCCACTCAGAGAAATTGTTTGGTCGACATAAAGATTTCTTTTTTCGCTCGTTTTTAATTGGCGGTTTCCGTTGCACGGCTTTTTGTTTACGGAATTTTTACATTTTTCTGTAAAAGCAGTGGGATCGCCCGCTTGTTTAGCGTTATAAAAGAAAAGTATATTACATAGAATTCGAACACATTTTTTATAAATAAACTTCTTTCCTCGGCTAGAACATTTTTATTGATACAGGTATCACTTTTTCCAATTGTAAATCAACTCTAAATTAATGAATTAATGTTTACAGTGATGAATCGAGAATTATTAAAGTTCTTTATTAACTGCCTTATTTATTTATCTTAAAGTTACAAGACTTTGAATGAAATGACTGAACTAATGAAACTAACGAAAGTATAAGAGATTATCATCGTAATCTCGCGGTGTCGTGTAATCTTAGATGATAAACTTACAAGTATTAATCTATGAATGAAATAATTGAAGAACAAATAAGAAATTAGTACAACCTGCGTATGAATGAGAGTTTTTGAAACATTGTATGAAAAATGTCGAGAAATATACCTTCAATTATCAAACTGTCACAAATTTTGACTCGTGAATGGTTGTTTCCCATCAGCCAACAATCGGGTCAACATAGCGCAAACATCATCCTTCCTGCTTCTCGAGTTTTATTAGCTCACATTATACACCTCAACTGTTGTATGTTTATTGCTACGATGTTAAAATTACCTGCAAGGATGTTGTGATTTTATAGCAATCATACGCTATGATCACGAAGCAACAGCTTATCAATTTTTTTTTTTTTTGAAGGCTCCACGTAAAATTATATAGGGTGTTATTAGACATAAAACATCAGAAAATTTATTTTGACAGTCTTGATAATTTATTCTATTTATATTAAATAATGCTCTGACTCAAAATATGTATTTATAAACCTGTAATTGGGCATCTACAAATTCGAATCAACAACTATCAATGGATTTTCTTCAAGTATCTTCAATATATATTAGAGCAATCATTATTATTTCCTAGCTAATTATAAAAAGTATATTATAAATTTTAATTATGTATAGGTATATTAAGTGTATTATACAATCTACGTTTATAAAATACTTAATTAGAAATTTGTTCTTATTTATGTATCTTTGTAATATATTATGAAA